GTTTAACACTGAGACTGAGTATGGAACATAGACAGAAAAATACATCAATGAAACAAAATAAAGACACTGAAAATATTCCCAAGCATAAATGGTACCTCAATATTATCAAAGATGTGTGCCAAATGGGAACATACTCTTCAATAAATAGTGCTGGTACAACTAGCCTGTCACATGGAAAACAAAATTACCTATCTCTTTCACACCATACTCGCAAATTAACTTAAAATTTTCTTAGAGGGAAAAAAATAGAAAGTCTTTATGACTTTGGAGTAGAAATGCATTTTTTTTTAAGACAGAGTCTCTCTCTGTTGCCCAGGATAAAATGCAGTGGCACAATCCTGGCTCCCCAAAACCTCCGCCTCCTGGGTTCAAGCATTTATCCTACCTCAGCCTTCCAAGTAGCTGGGACTACAGGTGCACACCACCATGCCCAGCTAATTTTTGTATTTTAGTAGAGACAGGATTTCACTATGTTGGCCAGGATGGTCTCAATCTCTTGACCTGATGATTCGCCCCCTCAGCCTCCCAAAGTGCTGGGATTACAGGCATGAGCCACCATACCCAGCCCAGAAATGCATTTTTTAAACAGAAACAAATTATAAGAGAAAAAGACTGAGAAGTGTTACTATATCAAAATTTTAAATTTCTGGATGATAAAAAATAATTTTTAAAAATGTCACAGAATAAAAAAGTATCTACAAAAAAATTCATATTTAACCTCTACAAAGAGTTCCTATAATTACATTAAAAAGACAAAAAAATGCAATAGAAAAATGGGCAAAGATATGAACAGGCAATGAAAGATGCTCAACCTTACCATTAATCAGAAAAATGGAAAGTTTCTGAATGATCCATTGTTTTACATTCATTAGACTGACCGTAATGTAAGTAAAACAAGACCATTGTCAAGGCTGTAGGAAGCAGAAATTCTCCCCCACTGCTGATGGGATATACATCAGCCTCCTAGAGGAGCAATGTGGCAGTGCCTAAGAAGGATGAAGAGGTGTACAACCTGTGACAAAACAATTCCATCTCTCATGATTTCCTCCAGGAAACTAGCACATATGCATAAGGAGATTGTTACTGCACCATTTTATTAACAGAGAAATGTGGAAAACGCCCAAAAGGGAAAAAAACTGTTGTGGCAGGGCACAGTGGCTCACACCTGTAATCCCAGCACTTTAGGAGGCCAAGGCGGGTGGATCACGAGGTCATGAGTTCAAGACCAGACTGGCCAACATGGTGAAACCCCATCTCTACTAAAAAATACAAAACTTAGCTAGGCATGGTGGCTCGTGCCTGTAATCCCAGCTACCTGGGAAGCTGAGGTAGGAGAACTGCTTGAACCAGGACCCGGGAGGTGGAGGTTGCACTGAGCCGATATCACGCCACTGCACTCCAGCTTGGGTTACAGAGTGAGACTCTATCTCAAAAAAAAAAAAACTGTTGTATATTCACATTAGAATTCTGATGCAGATCTGTATCAGCACTGATAAATAATAAAAACATAATATTGAGGGCTTTTCTTTTTAAAGACCACGCAGAAAGTTAGTTACAGTATGATACCATTTTGGAAATGTCTGAACTCACAAACTAATTTATCCTTGTACATGTAATATACAACTAAAAATGGGTAGAAAGTCAACCAGAAAACATCCACCAGAAGAAAGAAAGAAGGAAAAAAGAGGGGACTGATACTCAACCTGTAATGTGTCATTTATTCATTTACTCTGATACAAAGATGAAATATACAATAATGCTGATGTATTCATTCTTGGTGTTAAGTCCATTGGGGGTGGGGTGTCTGTGTGTGTCTGTGTGTGTGTGTGTGTGTGTGTGTGTGTGTGTGTGTGTGTGTGTTTAGAGACAGAGCCTCATTCTGTTGCCCAGCCTGGAGTGCAGTGGCGCAATTTCGGCTCACTGCAATCTCTACCTCCCAGGTTCAAGTGATTCTCCTGCCTCAGCCTCCTGAGTAGCTGAAATTAAACACCCACCACCATGACCAGTTAATTTTTGTATTTTTAGTAGACATGGGGTTTTGCCCTTGTGGCCAGGGCTGGTCTCCAACTCCTGACCTCAGGTGATCTGCCCTCCTTGGCTTCCTAAAGTGTTGGGATTACAGGCGTGAGCCACCACGCCTACCCATGGTTATACTTGTTATACTTTCTTTTCTTTTTTTTTCTTTTGAGATGGAATTTCGCTCTTTTTACCCAGGCTGGAGTGCAATGGCGCAATCTCAGTTCACCGCAACCTCCGCCTCCTGTGTTCAGGCAATTTTCCTGCCTCAGCCTCCTGAGTAGCTGGGATTACAGGCACGCGCCACCATGCCCAGCTAATTTTTTGTATTTTTTTAGTAGAGATGGGGTTTCACCATGTTGACCAGGATGGTGTCGACCTCTTGACCTCGTGATCCACCCACCTCGGCCTCCCAAAGTCCTGGGATTACAGGCTTGAGCCACCGCACCCGGCCTGTTATACTTTCTATCTTCAGCCTAACTCTCTTCCCTGTGCGTTAAATCTCTTCACATCTGAACTCCTCCAACGTTGAATGTCTAAAATGTGCACCCTTTCTCTCAATCCCTCCCTGCTTCTCCTCATTCTCCTCCTAAGGCTGTGGCCGGACCACAGATATCCTCCAACAACCTAAGAAAAAAAAGCAGGGGAAAACTTTCTTCAAACAACCAAGCAAATTCTGCACAGAAGCTCAAACAAACCAGACACATGCAGAGCTGCCCTGGAGGCAGGGACAGGGCTTGCTTGGGACTTCTCTAGTAGAGTGGGCCAGGCCCCAGAGAGAAGCCTCAAAAAGAGTCTCAAAATCCCTGGTATGCAAAATTAAAGTAGAATTCCTTAAGAGGACACTTGCAAGTCCTTCACCACCCAGCCCTTCTCCACAGGTCATCCCCACCTTCTGGAGCTCTCCCCACCTGCCCGCAGCACCCCTGTTTCTCTACACCCCACAGTGCCTAGCCTCTGTGCCCAGCAGAGCAAGAAAGTCTCGCCCTAGCACTCACCGCACATCCACACACTTGCACTCAACAGTTCCACTCCCAGCACCAAGACACATAGCCGGCCAACTGTCCACGCTAACCCAGGCTCTCACTTCCACATCTCAGTATGCTCACTCCTGCCCCATCATCTTCTAACCTTGACTCCTGGGTTAGAAGGAGTCTATCTCCTGCAACAAATTCAGCCCAACAATACAACTGCTCTTTCACTCCCACCTCTTTGACAACTGTATTATCCTCCTAGCTTCTGCAACTGCTAAGGTTCTGACAGCAGCAGTCTGAGAGCTCTCCTTTTTGACAGTGAATGAAATCCTGCTAATAACTGTCTTCGCTTCCCCTCTCTATTAATGGTGACAGGTTACATAGGGCAACCAACTGCATGCTACCGACAGTTTTAAATGGCAACACATTAAAGCAAAAGGTGCAAGGTCAGCCTTTTATAGCTGTTGCACTTAACAAGGTTAAAATCTAATCTGCTGCTTTGAAAAGTCAGGAAGTTCAATTTATCAACTCAGCATGGACTGATTGCATTCTGGGGCATTCACATTAATGAAATTCACAAAAGACTGATTCATCCTACAGAACGCCAATTGTTATGGACTGAACCATGTCCCCACAGAATTCACTACGCTGAAGCCCTAACCCTCAATGTGACTGCATTTGGAGACGGAGCTTTTAGGGAGGCGATTAGAGTAAATGAGGGATCCCCATCAATAAGACTGGTGGCCTTACAGGAAGAGAAAGAGACATCAGAGAGGTCCCCCCGCACTGACACAGTGATCAGAGGGCACAGAGAGAAGGTGGCCCACACGGCAGGCCAAGGAAAGTGATCTCACCAGAAACCAACTCTGACAACACCTTGATCTTGGACTTCTAACCTCCAGGACTATGATAACATTAATTTCTCCAGTCTTTAGTATTTTACTATGGCGGCCCAAGCACACTAAGAATCTCATTTATGAATTCAAAATAAGAACATAGCAGACCAATCACGTGAACCTGTCATCAAGGATAACCTATTCATGGCAGCAGAGCATTAAGATCTAGAAAATCACATTGATGGCCAGTTATTCAGCAAGCAAGGAACTGGAATGAGGTGACTTTAATGTTCTCAAAGAATCTGGAGTCCACCTCCTAGTAATGTGAATACCCACATTCACCTAATACCACTTTAGCCCTCCCCTGAATAAACACTCATCAAGCATCTTCTCTCCAATTGCTTTTCCCTGTCCATGTCCTGCAGTGTTCACAAAGCCTGTTATTACATCACGGACCCCTAATAACTTACAATTTCTAAAATCACAACTTATAAGAACTACATGTAGGGAGCAGAGTTTCACTTACTCTTGATTAATACATCTTACTCTTTAGCAAATTGTTTCCAAATAATAACCTGAAATGTAGACAGTTCCAGAGAATCCTATCCTTTAAACAGCTGACTAATCTTGGGAAGACTCCTACAGGAAATAAAGAGTGAGCAGAACACCCATGCCAAACTGCAAGGACACTTCCATGAAACTTATCATTCTCTACTGATTAAAACTGAAACAAACACAGAATACTTCTAAGCACAATGAAAACAGTTATCAGGGCTATCGCTTCCACCCCCCCAAAAAAAGAAACCTTTCAATAGACTGAACAGTGTAATACAAGAGATATTCAGTCCATTAAGTTGCTAAGCTAACTGACTTTATGTACTTAAGAGTACAAATTAATCTTAAAGACCAGATATACTTTTTTTTCTAGGCAGTTCAGGCATTTATAATTGAATAAACAGACCCTGCTGACCACCCAAGCTGAGATTCCAATGACAGTGACAAGGGGCTTTATCAGAATGGAATGAAAGGAATAGAAAATTGTGGGGTAACCAGAACAGTCTTCTAAACGAAGATGGTAAGTACATTAATACACCTTGAAAAACAGAATCAGAACACTTAGAACAATTCTGAGAAACACAAACCTTTATAAACCCAAGGATAGAGCTTTACTTACATGAAGGAATAATGAACTGGGGCTCAGTGTTGCCTGCGTAGCCAAGCTTGGTATACCTAAAAGCACAAAGTCATCAACACATGTTTAGATAATAATGCTCTCATCTATATTGAGTTAATGTCTTTTATTATAAGCTCTCCAAGTCCTAAAATATCAAGCCTCAGAATACTCCTTGAAATTAAAAAAATAAAACTTGTGATCACTGAGAATCAAACACTAATTTCAAATAAGAAAGCAGTTTTACAAAAACTTAAAATAGTATGCTTGTTTCTACTAGAAAAAAAAGAAACACATATATACTAACATATAAATTACATTTTGTGTATCCCTAATAACTTTAAAAGTGCTTTTACTCTATCTTTACAAAAACTCTGTGAAGAAAGTAGAAATTATCCCTGTTTTGCAGATGAGAAAAGGGAGGCACTGAGAAGTTGATTAAACTGCCCACCCTAATGAACTGCAGAAAAAGGACTCCAATCTCCACGTGCAGGCTAATTCCAGCACTTGCTCTCTAAGAAGTAACTTACTTCCTAGAACTTTTATACAAACTTCCTGAACTTTGGGGGTGGAGGGGTGGTTAGAAAATGATTATGTAATGTTCTTAAAATGTCATGGCATATGTCTAAGAAACAGCTACTGCCATCTCCTGAGAAGCATCTGACAAGAGCATCTCTTTATCATCTCATTTCAGAAGGAGCCCATTTTCTGTCAAGACACGGCATGATAGATTCCAAAAGTCTTAACTAAAACAAATGCCAAAATACTACTATCTGTTCCAAAAGCATTTGCTAATCTCCTAAATATAAAAGGGGGGGTGGTGGAAAAAAAAAACCCACCACTCAGAACCATCTGCTGGAAATAAAGTTGAGAAGCGGTGAGTAAATCGAGAAGACTCATCAGCACGTCCCTTCTTATTAGGACCACTCTAATTAACAGTAAAACAGTAACGTCTGGACAACCAACCCGTCATTCTGTAATAATACTTATGGTGAATAAAAATACTAGCAGCATTGGCCAGGCACAGTGGCTCATGCCTGTAATCCTAGCACTCTGGGAGGCCAAGGCAGGCGGATCACCAGGTCAGGAGATCAAGACCATCCTGGCTAATATGGTGAAACCCCGTCTCTACTAAAAATACAAAAAATTAGCCGGGTGTGGTGGCATGTGCCTGTAGTCCCAGCTACTCGGGAGGCTGAAGCTGAGGCTTGAATCACTTGAACCTGGGAGGCAGAGGTTGCCTTGAGCCAAGATCATCCCACTGCACTCCAGCCTGGGTGACAGAGGGAGACTGTTTCCAAAAAAAAAAAAACTACTAGCAGTTTTGAAATTAACTTTATTAATTCCCTGTATTTTAAAAATTATTTCAAGATGCTTGACATTAAATTTTTTATCTGGTAATACTTCTAAATTCTAAATTAATTTTGTAAGTTTTCAATCTATTTTACCATATGCTAATTTTACTATGTTTGAACACATAGTGAATGGGTAAGGTCTAAGGAGACAAAAAAAATATAAAACAACAAGTCAGCTCCCCTTAAATCACACATTACTGCTCAGCTTCCACGAGATCCGAGATCTTCATGCCACAGGAGCCAGGGCAATGCCAAGTCCTGGGACTCCTCAGGCCTGAGTCCTGAGCTTCTGGAGGCAACACCCATGTGAAGCCCGCTCCAGTTCCACAACTAGAGAGCTGGAAACAGAGTACAAAGCCAAGTGGACCCACAACAACTCCACTCCAGGGTTCACAGACCTACAAGGGCGATTTCAGAGCCAACCCAGGATGGAGGCAATAGAGACTGGCCTTTAGAATTCCAGATCCTCCCTCATCTGAACATCATTCTGGAATTATACTCCAGAAAATAAATACAAACAAGTTAATTACTAACCCAAGGCTAAAGATGCCTATGGAATCCAACAAGCAGATCTGAAATCATCAAATCTGTGTCTGTAACAAGTTACATCAGCTACTTCCCACAAAAAGTATGCACCTTATGCTTAAATAAATCCACCTTCCCACACCGTTAGACTATGAGTTCCACACGCTGCCCAGAACAGGGTCCTTTCTCATGGCTGTACCTACACCCCCGGCACAGTGCCTGGCACATGGCAAATACTCCAGAAATATCTGCTGAATGTATTCTTACCAGTTGCAACAAAGGTAATCATTGTCAAACTGCTAGGGGAAGGACTGATATTTGAAAAAGGGATGCTGGAAGTCAGAATCTAATGGAACCAGAAAAAAATCACAGACATCATCTACTACAATCTCCTACTTAAAGAGGAGCAGTGGCCTATGCGTAATGGGTTTTAGAAAAAAACAATAAACACTGAAACCAATATGGTAAAATGTTAACATTTATTAAAATTAGGTGCTAAGTATCATTCAGTCAGGCTGTTATATCATCTTCATATTTTGAGTATACTGTATTGGTTAAGACCATGCACTTTGGCACCATACTGAGTTCAAATCCCAGCCCCACTATTTGACAAATGTGTATCTTTGGGCAAGTTACTTTACCGATCTGTATGTCAGTTACTGTAAAATGGAGATAATACAACCTATCTTTTATTTAAGGGTTAGTATAATAATTGAGTTAGTATATATAAAAATAATAGAATATTATCTATACAAGTATTCATTATTATTTTTACTATTATTTTTCTACATTTTTAAATATTCCCTAATTTAAAATTTTGAAAAGTTAGTGCGAGCACAGTGGTTCACACCTTTAATTCCAGCACTTTGGGAGGCTGAGGCAGGAGGACCGCCTGAGCCAGGAAGTTTGAGACCAGCTTGGGCTACAACGCAAGACCCTATGTCTACAGAAAACTTTTAAAGTGGCTAGACTGGTGATGCATACCTGTAGTCCCAGCTACTTAAGAGACTGAGGCAAGAGGACCCCTTAAGCCCAGGATTTCAAGGTTACCTCAACCTCCTGGTCTCAACTATGACTGTGCTACCGCACTCTAGCCTGAGTGACAGAGCAAGACCCTGTCTCAAAAAAAACAAAAAATTCTGGAAAAAAAAAAAAAAAGCAATGTGTTCTGTGTCCCAAGTGATAGCATTCACTCTTTCCACTGTACACCATGAAGAGTTTAATTTGTATAGTGGTGAGAATGAAGTGTATGAAACAAATGGTAAATCTAGTATATACCTGGTGAGTCTTCAACAATTATGTCTCATTTCCACCCCAAGGTTGTGTACCCTAAAATCGTAACTATGACCCACAGCAGAAAAAGGTCAGACTACAAAAACAGACTTGAGCACTGCTAGGCCCACAACTCTTGAACAAAACACAGATGCCACTCAGCAACAGCTGCTGGAATGTTCAGATTCTGGAGCGACAACGTTCTTTTAGACAGTACAGCCTTGGAAGGAGGCCTCTGTCAGAGTCACACTAAGCATTAAGTATCAATGACATTAAGCCAACAATGATTTTCATGACTGAGGCAAACCAACATGAAGATATATTAATATTCTTACGTGTTAACAACTTACTATGAGATCTTCCCTTACCCTCCTAGCAGAACTGAAGTTATTTTTAAAAACACTGGCAAAAGCACAAATTATTCAGATCACTTAATTCTAATGCAGTATCTTTCCATTTTCCTGGGCTATTCCTTATATATTAATAGTATCAAATACACTCAAAAGTTTTGTGACTTTGAGTAATCATAATGTAGCAAACATCTAACAAATTTAAGAGACATTCAAATTTAAAATTTTAATAAAATCTCCACCAACATAGGCTCATCCATCCCAAACTTCAATGGCAATCTATCAAATATAACTCAGTAGATGCCATCTAAAAAGCGCACATCCTCAAATTCTTCCTAGGAAGAGAACTCAATGCTAGACTGGCCTGCCCCATAAGAGATGACAACATTACAGCTCAATGCCATGAAGAGTAGGACCAAAAAAGGAAAAGTAAGACACAATTCTTAAATATGCAAAGTGCTCAAGACACCGTTTACCAGAAAAAGAACCATTCTCTATTTCAACCAATTTACTAACTAGAAACAATGTAGCAGGCACTGTACTAGTCACTGAAACACACAGACTGAGGCTGGGGTGGGGGTGGACATGGCCCAGATCCTTTAAGTGTTCCTCAAAATGTTTACCTATTAGATAGTGGACTTCAGATTGAGTTTTCCCGTTTTTCCAGTTGTAGCATGGCTTACTTTGCCTGGAAAGCAAGTTTAAGATCATCTGGGTAGGCACTGAGAAAGAATAAGCCACGTGAGGCTTGTGAGGCTTGACCAGATCACCTAGGAAACTCCTGAAACATATTCCCAGGGTCTGTGCAAATTTCACTAAACAGGAATCTCCAGAAAAGACTGGGCATCTGTGTTCTTAACAGCCCTCCCTCACACACATGGTTCTAGTGGTCAACCAGCTTAGAACACTGCCCTTGACTACGCCACATGAAGTCCCCTTTGGCATTTCCATATAATGCAAGCTCCCCCACTTCACAGTCACATTCCACCAAAACCTCCTTCCACCCACACATTTAGTAAGATATATCTGTAACATTAAAGTTTAACACTGGTCAGAAGTTCAAAAGAAACAACTCATATGTCCTTTTTTTTTGGAAACCAGTCTCTATCGCCTAGGCTGGAGTGCAATGGTGTGATCACAGCTCACTGCAGCCTCAACCTCCTGGGTTCAAGTGATCCTCCCACTTCAGCCTCCCAAGAAGCTGGGACCACAAGTACATGCCATCTCGCCCAGCTAAGTGTTTTGTAGAGATCTGGGCAATACTCCTATGTTGCCCAGACTGGTCTCAAACTCTTGGGCTTAAGGGATCCACCCACCTCAGCCTCCCAAAATGCTAGGATTACAGGCATGAGCCACCAATCCCAGCTACCAAATGTACCAATTTTGTCTTATTTAAAACACTGTAAACACCATGTGTCCAGGTACTCTATTAAAAAAAGGGGGGGGGAAAAAAGAGGAAATGCTTTTCAATTCAAACTATGCAATTAAGTAGTAGTAAAAAGGCCAGGCGTGGTAGCTCACACTTGTTATCACAGCACTTTGGGAGGCCGAAGCGGG